AAAATTCCTCTGTGACGTTACTAGTAGAGGCACTTACATCACAGGAGAGATCGTGATGGTGAGGAGGTACGCTGGTATATTTTTTGCAGCACGCTGGTAGTCTCAGGGATGCACCAGGCATTATCTGGGAGGCAGGGCTGGGGCTGCAGCATTCCCATTATGTCAGAGGGGAGCTGTTTGTTTTTAAGTAGCGTCAGGCACTGAGACAGTGCAGGCTTCTCACATGAACTTGCTTACACTACAATACTAGTAAATCATGATTATTACCCAACAGTTGCATGTTTTTAATCATCAAAGTGCTTAAAAATATTATAATAATGCTTGGCACTTTTCAACTTCAAAGTATGCTGCAAACAGTAATTAGGTCTAATAACCATGCTGTGACAGTGAGACATTGTTATCTCTTGTTTTACAAAGGCGAGGGGGGGTGTTAGCCCCCGACATGGTTGCATCATCCCATGTGAGGCTGGAGATCTACCGCTGAAGGCTGCGTCTTGATAAACTCACCTCCCTATAGGCAAATACCCCACTGCCAGCAGCTGCAGGGCAGGCTTTGAAGATGCTTCCCGGGCTGGTGGGGAGGGGGCAGGACATTTTCAGTGCTCTTTCCGAGCACCTCCTCAAGACCGTAAAACCCCGTCTGATTCACATTTTGTTCCATGAGGGCCCGGAGCAGCCTTTGAAACAGATCTGGAAAAATTTTTACCCCACCTTAGCTTCCTGGCTGGTGTGTTTTCACCACCCGGCAAAGTGTTGTGGAGGCTGGAGAGAACAGTTGTGGACAGCCTGTGACAACTGTGGGTCATTTTTCCTTTTGCAAGCCGAATCTTTGAGTCCTTTGCTAAAGCACCAGCTCTCCTGTTCCTTCCTTTTAGTTTGCAGCACGTAAGATATAAAAGTTGTGCAGGAGGTAATTGCTAGACACATTTCAATACTAGAGACTCATAAACCAGTTAAATGTGAAAACTGATGTTAAAAACCTAGAGCTGATTCTGATTTTTTTAAGTTCCAAAAGCCTGCATTCTTTTGGATGTTTGTCATGTTGGTTGCAAACACCAGTTGTGATCGTTCCTTGGGACAGTCATTTCTAGCTTGCAGTTTACTAACTCCCAGATCATTTACATGAGTCTTTGCGCTCTTTGCTGGAGCACTCGTGAGGTCTCTGCCTCCCACCTGAGGTGGTGGAACCCCCTTATCCTGGTGTTCGCTTACCCCTCGATGTGAATGTCAGTCAAGAAATCTAAAAGTTACCTGGAACAAGCATTTGTTGTCACCGTGAGTGCATAAGCTTCATTTTCTACAGTAAAACAAGGCTAAAGAGCACTCAGGGCAGAAAGGGCTTCCCTGTAAAAGCTAGTGTTACATGCCTGCACGGCTTCTGCCCTGTCCCATGGACCCCCGCACATTCCTGGCTGACCTGCAGCTCTTCGGTCGGGTGCGAAAGGGAGCCTCTTCCTCACTACTGTTGAAAACTGGTCTGACGGGGCAGGCATGCCAAGGTGGGCATCCAGCAGGAGGAGGAAAGCAGCACAGTGTTTATGAAACCCCGTACCTGTGAACTCTGCACTAGGCTGCTAATTATACCAGCTCATTATTACTATAATGAGCCATCAGCAAGTTGCATCAAGTTTTGTCAGAAACTCTTGACTTTTTTGTTTCAATATTATGAAAGCAAATCGTAACCCAGGCTTGGCTATGCTCGGTCACCCAAAGGAAAGCCAAGCAGCAGGTCCTGTGTACCGGGGACAGGGTGGTATTACCTTGTCTAGCTGGCCAGGCCCTTGGCTGCCTAAAGCAACATGATGTTTTTTAAACTTGTTGTCTGTGCCTGATTGACAGTAGTGGGTTACGGCTACACAGAACAGGCTGGTGCTGTGCAAGCCCCCGCGTTACTCCAGGACCTCGAGAGGCGAAACCACGTTGTCCAGTACACGGAGCTGGGGGCAGGTGCCCTGACCTGGAGGCGTCACAGCCAGCCTGCGGCTCGGCTCTCCGCGGCTGGGAGGGACCAGTGCTGCATCGCCCTGGCTTTGGGTCCCGTGGGCTGCACCTGCCAGCACTCTTGATTGCGGTTTTCACATGGTGCTCAGGCACTCACATTGTTTGGTGTTTGACCATTTTCAATGCTGTTATTTAGCAAGCTCTTCTGGAGGGCAAATGGAACTTACGTTCTTGCCTTTATTTCTAAAATGCAGTATGTAGAACCCAATATAGTGCAGCCACGGCTATTTGTGTGATAACTTGCTGTTTCTTGCTTATGAGATAATTATTATATGAGCCGTGAATGAAATTCTTCTAAGGTAAAAGGCCTGTCAATCATTAATTATTGCTAATAATAGTAATTACGTGAGCAAGTTGCTTGCCTGCTTTATGAGTTTAGGCAAGTCGACCTGTTTTTTTCATTTGTAAAATGGGGAAAATGGTTTTTTTCCTCAGTTTTGAAAGGTGTTGCTCTGTGAGTGCTGTGCAAAAGAGATGTTTTTACCCTGTCAGCTGTACAGAAGGGGAGGTCAGCTCTCTGTGTTTGGCAGGCAGGGGGGCTTGAGGAGCAGCAGGGTGTGAGCAGGGGCTCACAAGTTATGCAGTAGCTGAGATAGAGGCTCACAGCTTTGCTGCGCTGGGGTGAGATGAGGTTGTTTCATGTCGCAGGGCAATCAGCTGCCAAACACATCTGATAACATAAATGTCTTTGAGAGCCAGTCCAAAACATCGGGTTTTGCCTTGTTTGCCTTGGGTCGCAGGCTTCCCACTCCTCCTCAGCCTGGGAAAGCTCTGACCCCACTGGCTTCTCCCAGTGATGCTGTGCAAAGGGAACAACAGGAGCAGAATTTGGGGAGTTTCTATCAACCTGAGCACTGCCAGGCTTTGCACACTGGGATACAAAGCAGGGTGTATGGGTCCTTGTGCACCTTGCGCAGTGTCTCGGGAGAGGCTGACACCTCCCCAAATTAGGGAGATCCTTCCAGCAACAGAGTTTGGGATTTGTCCCTAATTACCTCGGCTGCTCCTAACCATAATGGGTGTGTGGTGAGGGTGATGGCCAGCACTTCTCCAGCTGAAACAAACGCCCTGGCTCTGCACCAGCAGTGTGTGTGAGCAAGGTGGAAGTGATGCATCAGCATATCCAAGGCAAGTCCCTGTTCTGGGTGCAGCCACTTCATTTCCAACATCTAAAGACAAGTTTGTTTATCAAGGCTGGATCTGGCAGAGCCAACATGTCCTTTAAAAAGCCTTTCTGGCCTCTTTCCTTTTCTTCTCTCTTCCATTTACCTTTCCTTTACCTTCCACTGAAGAGGTTTAAAAACAGCTTTGATAAGCAGGAGGAAAGATCTATAGTTGCTCCTCATCAGTCGAGAGAGGCCCCATGACCCCCTGATCACTGTCCCATCCCCGTACCTTGTTTGTGTGACATGTAGGATGGACCAGTTTTACCTAAGAGTCTCAGAGGAGATGGGAGTCTCAGTGCATTGCCCATGCCACCAGGCTCCTGGTCCCCACCAGAGCTACCAGGCAGCTGGAAAGACAAACAAGAGCTGACTCCACCTACCAGCAGTATGGAGACAGCAGCCCATGAGATCGACAGCCCAAGAATGTGCACACAAAAGAAGCATTTCCCTCGGCCACGACAGTAAAACCGCCAGACAACCACATGCAACATGTGATTTCCCAAAAGCATCAGCCCAGATCCCGACTTCTTTGTGCCACACACTGTTTCCCAGGATCAGATCACAGTGGCAATGTGTAAAAGGCACTTTCAGGCACTGAAAATTAATCATATTTTCCTCAACATTGTTTATGGAAACCGTGGAGAGCGCTCCTGCCCCTCAGTGCTTGGCCAGCTGGCTCAGCTCACCAGCAAAGCTCGGTGGTGTTTATGGTGGAGCTACTCTGCCTCGGTAGGAGACGTCCAGGCTTACTCTGTGGAGTATAAGCTTCAGCAGTGACCTGGGAGGGGTCATCTGCTGACCTGTAAATACAGAGACTTTTGCCCTCTTCCTTGCTCAGTGTCACTGCTAACGGCAGCTGGTATGCAGCCTGTAGGAGGCTCCGTGCCCTCTGCTTGCCAAGGCTGCAAATGGCTTGTGAGGGCACCCAAATGTTTGGGAGCTTTGGCCAGTGGGACCCTGGCACAGAGTGGAAAGCAGGTGAGTCAGGATAAGTGCGTTTTTTCTTCTCCCTCTCTGGCTCTACACTGGTAAAGTGGCGTTTCTCTCAGTGGAGTAGCTCTAGTGTAAGACAAGTCTGATCTGCTGTATCTAAAAACTGGCTGGGCTCAGTGTTTTTTTAATTCCCAGTTTTATTCCTTTTTTGTTGGGACTCTCTGGAGTCTGTTGTGCATTTCTCTGTGAAGAGAGCCATCAGTTAAGGACGATCACAAGCTTTGTCAATAGAGTTCCACCGGAATTAATGAATTGGCAAATGTTCAAACTTGAAAATTAAGTACCTTGGGTTTGGTGTGATTTTTCTGCTCTTCCCTCCACCACACGTGCCTTGTATTGCTTTAGTGTTGCAGAGAGCTGCGGGTGTACCTGCTGTGACATAGATTAATGTATTAATATTTTTAAAGGTGACAGGAACATCCGTATGCAGTATCCCTTGTTTCGTCCTTTGGAGACAAACACAGTGCTGACGTTGATTGCAGTGGATGTGTGCCTGCTGTGGTTTTACCTGTGAAGAAAACTGTCTCAATTTGCAAATGAGCCTTTCCCTCCAGAATAATCATTTTGGGGGTTAGATTTCAAATTTTCTAGGAACTGGTATTGAGTAAATTCCATAACCTGTGTTTAGCAGTAATGTTTAACTGATAATGAATTTCTTAAGGCAGGATGGAGCCAAGAGCCTAACCCTCACCCGTGTCTCTGGATGGACCCTCTGGGGAGGAGAGGGGCCAGGAACTGGCGGTGCAGACAGGGGCAGCAGCGTGTGCTTCTCACTTTGCATCCTGAATGACTGGGTTTGGGAACAGAGCACAAAATTCTGACAATGCTCTATTTTAACAGGGAGAAGACTACGAGGAAAAGCATTCTACAATGTCAATGGCAAGGTGTACTGTGAAGAAGACTTCCTAGTAAGTAAGATTTCAGCATTTTTAAATTGTTTTTAAACTGAATTGTTCTTTTACATTGGCTTGTTTGCTTTGGGAGATGGTTTAGTCACCTGGGGCCTCCAGCTTATGCTGGAATTGGGAGGCATTTACCACTAACTCCATAAAGACAGGATCAGGCCCTTGGTTTGAAGTGGTGGCTACGAAACCAAGTACATAACTGTCCATAAGCCATCACAAAGTGTAAATTATGAGAATAAACACTGGAGCTGCTCAAGCTTGGGACTTGAATTACAGCCACAAAGCCTTGCCTGCCAAGCTAGAGCTCGAAGTCAAACATCTGGGGAATACCAATCATAACAAGAGGGGAGACGTTTTTGACTGGAGCACGTCATCGCTGTGTACAATGTTGCTTTGTTGCAGGCACAGTTTTAATCACCGCTCTGCTTGGAGTGATGTGGAGCTGCATTGTGATTAGCTAAAAACTGCTAGCCACGGAGGAGCAACTAATTTTCTCTCCATGTGCCCAGAGCTTTTATAAATGCTTTACTTTAATAGAGACTGAGTCATGAAAAGAAAAATGAAGCTTGTTGCTGAGCTGTGTTGTTCCAAAAATAAAATATTTGTGCAATTAAGGGTGAGGATTGTGCAGTACACAGAGGATGATTTGATAAGTGGCAGACCATTTATAATTAAGATTAAGAGGACAGCATGGCTGGGAATTGAAATTGGAGAGGAATGATATATTTTAGTTTAGGGGATGATAAATTGGAGAATCAGTATGTTGAATTTATACCACCTTTATTTATTGAAATACCATTCATTTAGCAGCTTGGGCCTTCCAGGACGAGTTTCCATTTCTTATGAATATATGGCCATGCTTTTTGCAAAGGAATTATTCAAAGTGTATCCCACAACAAAAATGTTACTGGCAGTTCAGAGTGTGCAAATGCATTTCTCATCAATGCAATCCATAAAAATAATGGAAATTCCTAAAATATAAGCCATATTTGCCTTCATGTGTTACACCTTTACTCTTAGCCTACCACAGCTGGAGCCTGTTGGAAAGACCAAATTTTATTTTGTGCAAAAAATAAGTTTCTTGTTGTAATTGAAATGTGTTACTGTTTTGCTTGCATTTTGGAGGGAAAACTATTTTTTCTCTTGCTTTTTTCAGCTTGCTCTTTCATGTGTTTCTGCAGAAGCACAGGGAGTGGGAGAATAGGTGGAATTTGAGATGGAGGGACTCAAACCTTTGAGATTTTTATTTTGAACTGTGTTGGAATGTACTTTTGCCATCATCAAAACCTTTCATCCAGACTTAATGACATGATTGTTGTTATTAGCTTGTGATGTCAGCCTAAACATGAGAATTTTATATCTAAAAATCTCAATCTTTTGGATAACACTCAGTTTTCAAGGAGGGGGGGAGGAACACCTCTTCAGTTCTTAAGACATGTTCTGTAGTAGGCTTCTGAAGGGAGATACTTGCAGTGATTTTTCACAAGAAAACTGAGGTTAAGAACCTGATAGGAATAAACCTTCTTCAAGTTAGGGAACTGTTGGGACATTAAAGGCACAGATTTAAAAGCCCAAACCTCCCACAGGTGTGTTTTAGCAGATTCCCAGTAGGACAGAGGGATGGGCAAGAAGCAGATCAGAGAACTCACTGCTGTGTAAGTCAGCAAAAGAAATCAAATTCTGACATCCCTGCCTGTGTTAAGCCAGCTGCTTCTCAGAAAGTGATTTCAACTTCTCTCAGCTTCCCCTGAGCAAATGTCATAGTAAGAATACTAGAAATTGTCTTGTTTCCCTAATAAAATAAATGAACTTGGCCTGTTTTAGAGTTCTGTGAGCAGAAAAAGCTCAAAGCTTTTCTCAAAGTCTGAGAAAAAGGCTGCAAAGTAGCAATTAAGAAGGAAATCATTTTAACTACTTCATAGTCTCAGGTCTTGCTCCTAACCAACTGGAAACCCCAGTCCTCTCTGAAAAGAGATGTTTTCAATCCATAGATTCAATCTTACAGATTCCCTGTGACAGTATGGTAGTGGGATATTAGGGAAGTTAAAGATGGGGTTGGGGAATTGGGTCATTAAAACTTTGCTTGAGTGTGAATTAGGCTGATCTTGCACTCTTGTCAGCTGACCACTGCCATGCAGCATTGCGGGCCAAGGAGGGAGCAGCAGCAGCGCGGCAGGAGCTGCTGTGCATTACAGCAGTCTGTCGAGTTGTTCGCAGGTCTCCACAGACGTACGTGCCTCCTCCCTCTCTGCAAGCCTCTGCCCTGTCCTATAGCAGTAGTGGGAGTACAGCTCCTACCTTGGACCATTCTTGCACTGGGAGACTTGTCTTCTAGCTTGTTGCAGCCTCTTTCAGGCAGTCAGAAGCAAAGTGGATCGCATTCTGGTCTCATTCTTAAGTAGGAGTGCAAGAGAAAGATTATTTTAATTTGGGGAGGTAAATGGAGGCAGTCCACCGATGTAACAGTTACTAAGAAAACACTGTCTTCTGTTGGTGTCCTTGCTCTTCCTTGGCTTTTGTTTGCCTGGGAACTGATGAGGAGAAAGATACTCCTGTAAGTATGGGAGCCTGATCACAGCTCAGTGGAGTTTCAACCCCACAGCTTGTGACCAGCTTAGTTCAAGTATGACACAATCATAACAGGAATTAGAAAGTAGAGCAGCTTCAGAAAATTTGAGTAGGAGATACTGTCATGTTGGGGTTGTTGGTGAAATCCATGTAATAACTGAATTGGAGGGGCCTGTGTGTACATGCTTGCAGCAGCAGGATGAGCTTTCCATGGATTGCCAGGGACAGATGTGAGGAGTGGATATTTCATCGCTCACAGTCCAGCTAAAGCAACAGTGGTCTGAATGAGCCCCTCGTTTGCCTTCCCAGCAAGAGGCATGCTGATGGGAAGCAGCTGACTTGCAAATGTACTGCAAATGGGGAGCAGGAGTGGTAGTGGGCTGAAGCCTCCCTGCTACCCATCCCCTTCCCACCCTCAGCAGGCAGCGTGGGGCAGAGCTGAGGGCTGCAATTCCTGCAGATCTCTGTCTATCCCCACTGCTACTTCTGTGTATTCCATTAATTTGCTGCAGGTGCTTCTTCCCCATCATCCCTGGCATCATACTGGGGATGTCCTGCAAGCCAGTCCAGCCAAGACACAAGGGCTGCAGTAAGTTCCACTTCAGGACTGCAGTAAATAGCACATGAACACCGATGGGAGGAAAGCTGAACTGGTTCTTGCTGTGAACCAGTTAATGTAGGAACTTTTAGGGAAGAATGGATATTATTTATGAGTTTCTTCTCATCACAACTGTTAGAAATGTTTAACATCCTATAGATGTCAGTATTTTAATTCTCCTGCAGTACTGCTGTTTTCTGTCAGAACGGCTCCAGCCGGAGCAGTCTCCAGAGCTGTAGCTGATGGCTCATACATGATACCTGGTTCTTTAGCTTGCACTCACTCAAGTCAGATCAGCTGTTTCTATCAAAGGTGATACATGGAATTCACTGCAATATTATGTATGGTCCTTGAAGCCCAACCGTTGTCTGATCCTTATAAACGTTGGCCCCTGTTGAAGAGCAGGGCTCACTGTCCCTGGCTAAACTGTCGCATTCAAGGTTCAGCACAGCACTAGTGCCAGGTGCTCCGGGGGGTGTCTCTTCCACCCCAGAGGCAGTTGCACTTTAAGCAGTGAAATGCTGTGTGCATCACATTTTTTAAGAGAGGTCAGTTGTCACTTAAAGCATAGCCAGTGCCAGAGAGCTTTGGCTACCAAGTTGATTCAAAAAGATCAGTCCATAAAAGTGTGACATGAGGGGCTGCTAGCATCAAGCATTCAAAATCTGGCCCTCTCTTTGAAAAGTGCTTTTGATTTCTGGATGAAAGGTGTTAGAGAAATGTAGATGTTATTCATTATGAGCAATTTCCACTGCACAGCCATAAAGCCATCCAGAGCGCAGATACACCCATCAAAACCTTTGGCAATAGCCGTAAGGTACATTCTTCTAGCAAATAGTTTTCCCACATGTGTGCTCTTACTGAGGGCACAGATTATCTTTCTCTAAATCAGACGGCTTATTTTGCTCATTCTTTCCAGGGAAGAAGTGCTAGAAGTTTTTAGATGCACTTGTGGAGTTGTAGATGGGGAAGGGATGCCACAAGCCGTGGTCATCCTCCCGAGAACAGTGCTGGCCTTCTGCGTGGGGTTGTGAATGGATGGGTGAGGGCTGGTCAACCCTTAGCACCTGGAGGACATGGCATGCCTTTTCCACTGTTTATTTTTGTCAGCCTCCTGATTCCAGCCCTGATGAGCTGCAAATTGTCTCAGTGCTTAAACCCAAGCCATATTGGCTAAATGTAGTGAATGAATCAGATATTTAAAAAAATAAAAATCCACAGATCGTTCCACCTCTGCCAAAGCATGGTGTAAAGATTGCCTAATTATACAGTTTCCAGTAGGGGCACTTCAGTGGTGACACTGGATGTTACTGAGTGTAAGGAGTAAAAAGAACAAAACCAAAACCCCAAACTCTTCATGGCTTGGCTTTAGCTCCAGGGAAGATCCAGTTATTCTTTTTCATGCCACCTTAAGGTAGCAAGTCCAGCAATATCCAAGTCTTGGCTCAGCCCTGTTAGGATAGTTATTTCATTAAAGGAAATAAAACAAATGACAGTTTAATCCTTCCCTGAAAGCTCTTAGGACACAGATGGCTAACTAGCCATAACAGGGACACTGTTCCCGGTGAAGTGAGCAAAAAATAAATGCCTTGCTGTATAATAAATAATCCCAGTCAGATGTTCTTGTTCCATTTTGTTGATAAATTGCTGCACAATCATGGATGAAGGAAAAATAGCTCAATAGTTTTCATTTGTCTTTCCTTGTCAATGCTTAAATATCTTGTAAGGAAATTTAAAAGAAATTACTGTTTTTCTTGGCAAAAAAGACTTCTAAAATGTCACCAAAGCAGCCTGAATCTTAGATCTATTATCTCTCTTTTCTTTTTTTTCTTTTTTT